ACCAACAAAAAAAACCATATGAAATGCACAGCCGCTGCCTTTAGGACACAACAGCAGGGCTGACTGCACACAACACCTATTTTTAATGGATACCTGTCATCAGAATGCTACAGAATAGTTGAAAAGAACTCTTTTTTTTTCTGATTTGTGCATGTATGTTGTAAAAATATCTTAAAGGAATCAGAAGGGGAAACTCTGGCAACAAGATTAGATGCCAGTAACATGGTGCCAACAAACTAGTCTGAAAGAGAAAACTTTCTCCCAAATCTGTGTGGRTACAAAGGCAAGAGGAGCCAGGAACCATCAAAGGGCAGAGAGGAGCCCAGGGTATCACTCAAAACGTGCACCCAGGCAGCTATGTCCTGACTCTCCAGTTATGGTCAAAGGGATACAAAGAAAGTTCTTCTGGGATGAAGTGGAAGACACTTATTGCTGTTGCATCAGAGGAATTACCCTAGGTCAAAAGTAAGTTTCATGTTGCTGTCACCTGTGCTTTCCTCCTCATGTTGATTCAGTGATGACTAGCAGCAACACTATTTCCTTGGGCAGATCTGCAGRCTAGCAATGTTATAATTCCTTGACTGAATGAGAAGGAGGAGGCAGTGGCAACCAAAGCAGTATTGGAATAATGAGAAGTTGTTCGTGTAGCAGCATAAATGCAGTCTCCACCATAGAAGCGGTGAAGTGCTTAGATCTTCCACAGTGACTGACAGTCATCTTGGGTAGGATCCCAAGTGTGAATTCCTTCTCTATGAATTCAGCATTAASAGAAGTGAGTTTTCATAGGATTTAAAGCCAGAAGGGAACAATTATGATCCTCTACTCTGATCCCTGTGATAACACACACTCTATGTTGTTACCCAGCAACTTTGGCCATAAGCCCAGTGGGATGTGCTTGCTGGAGAAGGATATTTTTAAAAAGGATGCATCTAATCTTGATTCAAAGTTTCCAAGTGGTAGACCACCAAAGGACATAAAGTTGGCTGCTTTTCCCTGTCCTTGTCAAAGGCGGGTATCCAGTTTCCACACTGAAGGCCTTTCTGTTGCTTGCATTCAGTGCAGTCCATCAGTCTTAATGCTCAGATTGGAAACGTGGCTCAGCATTGAGGGATTAAGTTTCTACCGTAACAGGTAAGAAAATTCTCATGTGGGCAGAGGATGTATTCTCAATAGAAAAAAAAAAAAAAAAAAACCAAAAACAACAACAACAAAAAAATTAAGTTTCCCTGGCAGCTGGAAAGACCCAGACCTGCAGCCAGCACCTTTGCCAGCTGCATGTCTGGGCTGCACAGCTGGCTGCTGCAGCCATACAGGAGGGCAAAGGGAGATGGGACACTTCAATAGTGAAGTGCTCAATTTCCCTGCCTGTGGGTTAGGAACATGCTTGCCAAAGGAAAAACACTTCACAAGGTTATCTTGCTTCAGCTGCCTACAGAGGAGATGTTGACACGTGGATGGCTTTGCTTTACTAGTCCTGGCAGAAAATCAGAAGTTGGCAACAGAGTGGAAAGAATTGCTTTCCCAAACTGCTCATTTTTCTTTTACAAATATAAATAAGAGATTGAGGTCTCTGGACTACAGACATTTCAACTTAAAGGAGTTTAATATCACCTATAGTGACTACAGCTTCCCTGGCAGTGTCTTAGCTGGCACGGGGTCAGTCTGTTTTATTACTTGAATCCTTTCTTTCAGCAAGCACACAAGCAAGGCTTTGTGCAAGAGAGTGTTTGCAAATGCAAGGCTCTTTTTACATACCTGTCCCCAACAGGTGTTTCCTACGCTGCCTAGGTTAATGCTGCTTGCTCTTATTCAGGCTGCTACTTAAAGCCATGAGRGAAGATGCCTCAGCTTTTGAATCGGTTGCAACCTCAACATGAACCAGCCCAGGAAGTGCCTTAATCACTGAATTTTGGAAGCTGGAAGAGGATGCTAAGGAAATGATCAGCATGACCAGAAGCCTGTGCTTTTTCCGTTAGTATCCAGTACCAGCTACATCAAAGCTGGAAGAGCATGTACTTCAGGCCAACTGTGGCTACTCCTGTGGAATCTGTAGACACAATTTTGGAAAACCAAGTAATCGTTACTGCTTAACCAAACCAGTGAATTAGATCATGATATTGGCTTTAAAAGCCTTCCTCTCTTTTGCTGGGGAAGGTTATTTGCCTTTGCTCTTCTATAGGGATTATATATCCTATTTTTCCCCACAGGATTTAAAAATGCTATTAAAAAAAAAAAAAAAAAGGAAAAAATCAGAAACCTGAGCTTTTCAAGAAGTCCTCTGTTTCCAAAACTTGACACATGGAGAAGACTAGCAGGCACTGTTAGTCTTGCACTGGCAGCCTCAAGGAATTTGTCTGAAATCTCTGGACATTGTGAATTGTAAGGAACACTAAAGTGGTAAGACTCTTGAGAAACCTGTATTCCCTGGGGAGCTCTGCTGCAGTTCTGGACAGACCAGAGATTTTTTGATGAGAGCATTTTTTCATAAACTCTGCCCCTACTGTCAGCTGGAACCATCAACTGCACAAGCCATTGACATGAATAATAATACATGGGAAGAAATTGCACAACAACTGCAGGCCTCAAAGACTCTGCAGTTCACACCATTCATGGGCAAAGTTTGGGCCCATTTCTTATTTTACCAAAGAAAGGCATTTAAATGCAGCTACTACATGAAGACAAAAGCCTGCAGCTGGGATGTTTGAGTGCAAGGTTGGAACATGGCATAGCCTCAACTGGCCGAATGGAGGGACTGAAACTTGGAGATATATCTCTGTGCTCGCTCCACTGGGAAACAYAGCTGTCCCCACTTCAGCAATTTTGCTGCTTGTGGGTACCCAGAGCATAGTGGTTGGTTTGTATCTTTGTCCTTATGCCCTCTGTCTAATACTTCCGCCCAGGAAAATACCACTCATTTAAAATAGAAAAGCTCCTTTTTAAAGCATGTTTTATACTTGAGCGCGGGTCAAATAGCAGACACTTTTGATTAATGCAACATTGAGATATTGAGGGGGAAAAAAAATCACATGCCTCGCTGGGAAAAGGTATAAAGGACAAACATTCAGAGCTATTCAACATTTTTGGGAGGTGGGGAATGTGGAGGAATGATCATAACTAAATAGAAAGCCAAAGCCCGTGCCTATTGCCAAGGAATCGGCCAAAAGGAAAACACAACTCTGATCGCAGTAAATTCATGTATGAGTCATGATGGGCCAAGAACAAGTTTGCTTTCTTTTCCCCCTCATTGAGCAGATGATGATTAAAAGATAAATCATGCTTGGAGTCAAATCAAGTGATTGGATTAAAGTTTAGCTGAGTATTTAAAGACTGTTTGGGACACAATGGAAAGCTAATTGAAAACTTACATCTGTGAGACCCTTGAACTCTCCAGCTCTTAATAAAATACTACTGCAAAGTACACAAGAGTTCCCGGTGGGAGAGATTCCTCTCCACAAGTGCTTTTATTCCTCAGGTATGTGGAAAAATGGTATTCATTTTCTCTATAACTTCACCAAAGAAAAGCATGTTCATGAGTTCATGATCATAACTCAACTATTGCTCATGATGCAGTAACTTAATCTAGTCAACTCACTGAAAATCAGCGAAGCAAGACACAGAAAAGGTCACTTTAAAAAAAAAATGAAGTCTTAAACACTTCATTCTTTTAACTAGTCTTTGCTGTTCTGAGCAGCTGGTGTTCCAGCATGACTGGCTGCCTGCATTAGGCCAGAGTAACTCTGGAGTTTTACAAAACTGTGTAAAAATTCCTTCTAGATGTGCTGTAGTAGGAAATGTCATGCTTTATTTATACTAATCATATAATTGCATTTTGGAATCACCCCCAGTTCTTAAGGAATATACCCAGCCTCCAGCTTCAAAGCACTGTCCTTTCTGGTGGAAATACCAGTGAAACCCACAATGAAAGGGAACAAACTTCTCCATGACCGTACACACATGCGCACACACGTACATACACATGCGAAGCCAGTGCTGGTTCTTCAGCTGGCCTCTGTGAAGCCAAGCACAATACTTTCTTGTTACTCCTTGCCACTGAAGTGGAGCTGTAAAAACTCTGTAGTTGGGTTAATTTGGTCCATTGCACTTTCTGTCTCTTGCAGTTTCTTTGTCAGGCTTTTGGCTGTCCTATAGGTGTGGAGATTGTAGGTGACCACAAAAAGTTTTAATGAATAAGAGCCTTCATTCTACAGGATGTGATGAGAAAGCAGTCTGCTAGCCTAATCCAAGCTCCTACCAGAAGAATTAGCAAGAAGGCTTATTCACAAAGCAAAGACCATAGGTAAAACTTGTAAGGCTTTGGGGGAGATAGGAAATGACTAATATTTATGTCAGATAATGAACATAAATTACTTCTCAGACAAATTTTTCAGATGGATATAGATAAATATAAGGTAAGCTGGGCCAGGTGATGTAGTAGGTGTGATCTCAGAGTGGTCAACACAATGCTTTAGAAAATAATCCCCCATACCTCTTCAGCTGCAATGCAAATGTAAAAGAAATAACTGTTACCTCTGTGTCTTACTGAATTCTAGCCACCATGGAGTTTTAGCATTCATAGTCTAAAAGAAACTTGACTGAAACTACTTTTATTGCTAAGCTCTTTTGCTGGAGTAATACAGTGATGGTTTAGTGTTTTTAATAGTCCAATAGCTCAGCCAAAAGCAATTCGACAATGTCTAGGAATCAGGTATGTACCAAAAAAACCCTTAACGACTCTGTGTGCCTGTGACTGCAGAAACGTAACATTTCCTTTGGCTGACTTGTTGGTGAGCACTGGCTGCACAGGACTTTGGGTAGMCGTGTTGCTCCTCTTCTTTCCCTAAGGCATGTCCAGCATCACTTTCCCAGTCCTAACAGACCAGTCCTTAGAGTTGAACAGCAATTGCAGCCTCCCTTAGTGCTTTCTCATCCTTCCAGTAGGTATTTCCTCACGTTAAACGTGATTCGTCAGTTGTTACCACTTATATCTGTGATTCCACAGCCTGCCCACCATGTCCTGGTCCCTTTCTCTTAACCTGGTTGATTGGGTTAATATGGTCCTCTTTCATTTTCCATACAGGTCATGTGTGCTGTGCCTCCTGCCATTCCCATCCCCGGCTACTCTTCAGCCCAATGGATCACAGTCACAGCTGGGCAGTTTGGTACCAAGAACAGTATAACTGCAAGCTCTACACCAGCTAGCTTTTACCAAGGTAAGCCTGGGAATCTCTATACTATGCTCTTGCCTGCCACATGGGTGTATCTGCTTTAGCAAGCAGAAGCTGACACAGAAGTGAGACAAAGCATGTGGGGATTAATATTTGGGACAGACTAAAGATTCCAGCCTACATTAAAATCTAGTTCACTGCCTAATGATTGCCTCCTGTTGGTTTCACTGGTGCTTTTGCTGAGTACATTGCTCTTTAGTTTCTCATATGTGTCAGATAAAATGAAAGTTTTAACTAAATTGTGAAGCAAACCTTCTGTTTGGGCTAATTAATGACAATTGCATGCTTCAGAATAGGAAGTTTACTATAGAAGTACTGTTATATGATACACCCACAAACGCTAGTCTAGTGTTTGCTTTTTCTTAACAGCTGTAATTTGTTCTTCATTAGAAAGCTTTATTGTGTCTTGAAGTGATTAATATGTTCTGGGAGGAATGGCTAGTAAGCCCACAGTCAMAGCACACAGGGACACCCCTTTGACAGACCAGAGGAAAATGGATTGGAAAGATGAATGTGCTTTTATTCATTGTTACAGATCCTGAGATATTTTGCCTTAGTTCTAAAGAATGTATAGTCCTCACAACACCAGAGGTGACACTGTGTATTGCTCAGGGTCAGTTGAATATACATGACTTTTAGTCCTTTTATAGTAAAGCAGGTTATCGTTTTCCTCTGCCTGCTTCCTCCATGTGCAGGTGTTCACCTGCCCTGACTCCCCTTGTCTTGCTGCCAAAGATCCCCTCTCTCTGTTTCTGCTAGCAGAAAGCTTGAGTCACCTTTCCCAAACATTCGTCCTTGTAAAATCGGAGATCTAGGAACAAAACACAGTGGGTTTTGCTGTGCAATTTCTACCTTCATGCTTTTATTTTGGTATCCTTATATTTTTTAAAGCAATAGCTACCCCAGCAAAATATATATATATATGTATATATGCATGTATATAGTCAATGTGGCATTTTATCAAGTATCTTGTAGGTCTCTCTTTACTACTACTGATGTATTTGGTGAGGTAGTATCTTGGGTCCTTTAGGTGAGGCCATGATTTGCTTTGGGTGTCATAAAAAAGGTATGCATGATTTCAGTTTCTTCTCTTTAGGGACATTCATCTCTTTTAATGCAAGTAATAATAATTATAACAATAAGATAATATGCATTATCCTAAGGGCCTATACACTAAGTTAGCCAGGATCCTCTGTGTCCCACTGAGAGCTCTTCTGTCAACTGCTGTTAATATTTCTGTGTACTGTGTAATATTTCTGCAACTCTTACAGTTAGCCAACTTCTGTTAGAAGGAAACTCCTCCAGTTTACAGAAAATATGAACAAAAAGCTGCACAAGATCACATCAGGTAGAGTCTGGGCATATAGGGCCTGGATTCTAGGAGAACAGCATGAATTTCTCCCTCCTGGGCTTTCAGAATGACCATTACATGTTGCACAAACTCTTTTCTGGTTTGCTTTTCCCCTCTATAGGCTCTGGCAGGTATGGTCCTATGAGGCTGCTGTGGCCTTCAGCTAATAGCCCTGGTCTATGTTTATGTCTAAATCTTCCACTTCTTTCAGAGTGGGCAGGCAGCTAAGAAAGAAATGCATTCTGACATCTTTGCTACCCACTGAGCACCCTCTGCCCTGTGGCTAGGGGTGCATATTCTGCAGAAACAGAGGTAGTTTAATAAGTGTGAGATATAGGATCAAGGGACATGAAGCCCCCAAATTGGCCATGAGAGACTGAGGATGAAAGTCAGGTGAGGTCTATATAATGAGCTTMGCGGGCAATGCAACAGAGAGAGAGAGACAAGAGAGTGTTGCAAGGTACTAATATGTGCTTGTCTTTGAGGGGGGAAAAAAAAGTCTCCTAGCTGCAGGAGTACAGAGTTAGTGCTGTGTCCATGAGAGTCCTTTGAAAAAGCACTTTATATGTGCTGGACGTTTTCTCAAGGGGACTATTCTTTGTGAAAGCTCATAATTTTAGTGGAGATCCTTTTCCTCCTGAGGAGAGCTGAATGAAGCTATGGATCAGTGAGAGGGTATCTGTACAACACAAAGGCAAAATTTCCAGAGCTTCAATGTAGCACCTTCATTTGAAGGAGAATTGTCCAAAAGGGCTTCCCAGAACTTTGTATTTAATAAAGATTTTATGAGCCAAAGATTTTATGAGTTTTGCTCATTTTCGAAGCCTGTTAAACTGCTTTGAAATGGTAGGAATCAATAGATGAAATTGTTATAAAACTTAGGAAAATTTTAACAGGTTTTCTTCCAGAAAGCTGAACATG